GATGGAGCACTAGTCATCTTCTTCTAGTGGGTACCTACTTACATGGGGATATTCTGAAATTTTCTGGAACTGTACAATTATGTGTCATCTGTATGTTATACTCCAATAAAATTTACGGGGAGAATTATATGAGAGTGAAAGAGTGCGCTTACAAAAATATATTTTGCCTGAGAGTCTCAGCCTAGTTACTATCTTAGACCACAAAAACCTACACAAGTGCTGCAAAATTTGCTGACTCACGTATGACTGTCAGGAATTTTCGTAGGAAAAAAAAGCCACCTGTGAATCATGGAGCATTATTTGAATGTAATAAAAAGCTCATCACGTTAAATTGCCAACTACTCATATGAATGATAAGCACCTTCTCAGTGCTTTCCACTTTCCATTGTCATTTATACTTACCTAAAGAGGACTCGAACAAACCTGGTCCCATTAAGCAAAGGGAATCCTGTCTGCATTGCTTCTTAGAGCAGGCGAATCTGTCCTCTACTGTTAAGTCAAAACCACTCTGAAGCAAAGTCAGATGTTGGCCAAACTGAGAGTCTACAAGATTCCTGACACAGCTTTGATGTAATGTGTATCGTTCAGCTTGTGTGACTAGCTGTGGGAACTAAGCAAGCCATGTCACATCTCAGGGTCTATTTTCTCTCTAAGGGAATAGATATACTGCAACACTTCCAAGAAGTCTAAGGATCGGTGAATTACTACCCTATTACCTAGTTGGAAAGCAATTAATGGCACTGATTGGAAGCATAAAAGATTGCCTATGGACATTAAATAAACTGCACAAACATATTGGGAATGTCTTATTAGGGTTACACAAACAGGGGAACATTTAACTAACTACAGATAACCAAATTAACAGAATCAACAAATCGTTTCTGTGAGAGGATGCAACGAATCGGAGACTTACCCCATGGTCCCCAGGGTCCAAATCCTTTGGCCTCTTTGTGACAGAATTTTGGTGTTTTCTTACTAATACATATGTGGTCTCCTGTGCTCACAGGCTAGAACCACCACTAAAAAAAGCTGAGTACAAATTGCATGCAAGTTAGCCATTCATATACCCCCAGTCCCTGCACAGGAAACTGCTTAGCAGCATCTGTAAGCACTGTCTCTCAATTCAAGTGAACTAATGAGGCATTCAGTCAAGGGCGTCTCCGATCATGCAGGATTCACTTGGGATATAGAAGACTGTATAATAACACTTCCTTAGTCTGGGGGAGGTATGAGACAACACATACCAATTCAGAGATGCATATGCTTATTCTGTAGGAGACTCACACTGTGCATTACACTGCAGCACGTGGATTCTTCAATATTATCTGATTGCATAAAGGCCTGTTCACAAGAGCACAGGAAAGTACACTTTGTTCTTCTATGCACTCGATTCTAGCCCTTTAAATGACCATTCAAATTAGTTAGCAAACCACTGCATAAAATAGAGTCAATTATCAGCATCACCTACCCAAAGGTTTCCTTGAACACCTACTGTAGCAAGCACTGTCCCAGACATTATAAACATGCTGTCTTAGCTAAGGTTTACAACCTTTTGAGGTAGGAATTCTTACTCCCATGTTACAGATAAGGAAACCAAGAGTGCCAGAATTCTATCTCTGGCTTGAATGAATCCAAGCCCTGTATTCTCCAGTCGAGCCAGGAGAAAAGTTCATAGTCTTTTTTTTTTAAAAGCTCTTTCTTCAGTTATTCTTCATAGAGGGAATGATATCTAAGATAACATAATAGCTTTTATTATTTTCTTATTGAGACAGGGTCTCTCTATGTAGCCCAGGCTGGCCTCAAATTTATAGAGATTCACCTGCCTCTGCTTTTCAAATACTGGGATTAAAAGTGTGCTCCACATGTCTAGCATATAAAGGCTTTAAAATAGAGATAAAAATAGACAGAAGAGAAATGTATAAGTCTAAATTTTGAAAAATTGGTTCAGAAATAAAACAACCTCCCAAAATATAGATTGGGAAATTGAACTCATACAAAGAAGGAAGATGAATGTTGGGTATTTTTAAGAGTCAGTTGTAGGTTTTATCAACCAAAAAAATTCAATGATCCCTTATACACATGGTTTCCAATCTCTTCTCTAACAACAGCGTTCCCTATGATCTTGGATGAATCATTAAACCCGGTGTGCTTCAATTATCCATTAGTAAAACAGAAAGCTCTAAGAAAATGAATCTACCACACAGAGATGTTCTAAACAAATAACATAACTACACCAGCACCACCCATCACCACCTTGAAATCTTATGAGAAATACCACTGCAATCAATATATGAGGAACCCCACTAGTGCAGTGAAGTCACTCCGAAAAATGGGAAATAATCATTCCATCTTTCCCAAGCTTGGTGTTCTGAAGGACTAGTGACCCCCCTCTCAGAAACAAGCAATTGTTCCTGAACTGCACAATCAAGAGTAAACCAGAAAAGACTGAAGGATGGTGATGAGGCAATGCTACAGTGACTCATTTGAATCATTCATTCACCCATCCATCCCACAAATATATATGTATATATAATATATTCTTTTTTGAGAATACGTATTATTTTGAATATATATATGCTTTTGGAGACAGTGTCTTGCTATGTAGCCCAGGCTAACCTGGAACTTCGGAACTTCCAAGTTTTTTTGCCTTAGCATGCTGAGTGCTGTCCACAAATGTATACTGAGCACATTCTGTTCAAGAACTACCTCCCTTTCATATGGGCTCAAGATTAATGCTGGGACAAGCCAGAGCACTATGCAGCGGGTCCTATGTCAGAAAGCCATCAGCAGTCACACAGCCTGACACTCAGTGCAGGAGGAGACCCTGGGGAAGAGCAGTCTGACAATCCTCTATAAGCTTCAGACCACTGCGACATCCACCTTCCAGTGAGATAGATTTCCACCCCTCCAAAAGCCCCATAGTACAGAAACACAGAAGTGAGCACACACACACACACACACACACACACACACACACACACACACACACACACAAACACACACACACACACACACAATTGTTTCCTACTGCTCTGTCAGAGTATACCAATTTAAATATTTTTCTGTATATGCCAGGAGATCTTCAGGCTGTTTTCTCTGGCTTTCATTAGGCTGCAATAGACAGCTCCACTCCCTAGGAAGAAGCTCACTCTAAACCCATTTGTGGCTAGTACTCCTCATGAGCTCCTGCCAAGCTGGTAGGAAGCTTCCCGGTGGTGACTCCATCTTAGCCGGATTGCCTGCAGAGCTTAACACTGTTCTTAGGGTGCAGCTTGGGGGTCCTCTAAGGCAGCTGGGCCAGGTTCAGAGTACAGGAAGCATAGTGAAGAAAGCTATGTCCCTAAAGAAAGGGAAAGCTTAAAATACCTCTGGTGCACACGCAGAAATGTATAAATAAACGTACATATGAAAAGTAAAGCAAGAACACATTCGTGCGTTTAAAATCAAACCCTAAACTAGTCCAGCCAAGACAAAAGCATAAAAGCATCCCCCTCCACTGCTTCCCTGTCTTCCAACCTCTTCAAGCCCTTTGGTGGCTTCTGCCACCTCACCCTACCCCCTTCCCCAATGCAGGCAGCCTTGGCTACTTATTTTGACCTGCTTTCAATTCCATCTGGTCTAACACACTGGGAGGAGGGGAGATGAGAGAAGCATATTAGGATTTGCCACTGGGGCTAGACCTAAGCCCCCTTCCCCCACCCAAGAGTAATCCCGTGGTAAGGAAGAAACAAAAAGCTCAAGCCAGAGCTGTGTGCAAGTATTTTCTGAACATTTACAATCTGCCAGACTTCATCCATTTGCAGCTCATGTTGAGGGGCCTTGGAAAGCTCTGCAGTGAGCTCTAGGAGAGCAATTAATCCCTCTCAGTGTATGAGGCTATTCCTTCCCACCTTAGCCCTAAAGGAGAGACCTTCTTGCCTCTTTTCTCTCTTTCTTCTGTTCTTCCCTAAGCTCATTTCCATCTTGACCTTGAGAGCCTGGTAATGTGCTTACTCCCATTACTGGCGCTCTGGCCAAGGCTTCTAGAAGCAGGTTCCCTCCAACCGGGGCGGGGAATCGAATAGGCAAAGTGACAGGGGCGGAGGTGAGAGACCGAAAGTGCTGGAAACATCTCTTGCTGTCTCCTAGTACTCCACTACGTAAGTCCTCCTCGCACCTAACTGGGAAAGGCGGCCCAGCCCCCAGTTTGCAGAGCTGTTTTGGCCAGTCACCTTCGGGCATTCCAACTCTGCAGAGAGGAAACCTGCGGAGGGCCTGGCTCAGGGCAGCCACCGGAGGAGGCATGGTGGGGATTACAGACGGTTCTGCAGCAGAGTCCGGACAGACTTGATCAATTTTGTAGATTAGCCTTCACACCAAATACAATAAAACAAAACATCCAGCTCTCCCCTCCGGGGAAGGGGCAGAAGCAGAAGCAGCTCAGTGACCTTTATTTGGGGCAAGACTGCTTTGTCTCCAACATCCAGCTCGTACCCAGGCGCCTAAAGGAATACTGTCAGCTCTGCACACGGGATGTGTGCTAGCTTTAGGAACCCGTCTTCTCACCCCACCCCCAGCTTTTCTTCTCTTTCCCCTTTGTTCCTCCCTAAAATATATAAACTCTGGCCAGCTAAACTCTTTGCTTAGAGGGAAAGACTCAGACTTGCAGACTGGCTGTGGCTGGGACTTTGGGTGTGTGCAGGGAAGAGGGACGGGCTCGTTGATGACAGGTGCTACGCAGGTCTCAGTCCCCTGCTTGACTTAAAATTGGGGGTCCTCGCTGGGCAGCCCCTCCCCCAACTGGCATGCAGTGGCACCAAAACAGTTGCTCCCAGCACAGCCCACAATGAAATCGCTCTTGTCCAGCTGTCCCTTCCGAGCTGTAAAGTTGTTAGGGAGAAGGGAGGGTCCGGGGCTGAAGGAGAGGTTAAGAGAAAGGCACCGGAGCGGAGAAAGAAAGGAGGAGAGGTAGTCACAATCCCATAGGGGTGCGCTCCTCATTGCTCCTATACATCACTTACCATCTCATTGTAGGCATCCTTGCTGAGTCTGGGGGTCAACTTGATGGTCCCCATGAAAACAAAGAAGAGTCCCAGGGCCACTGAAAGGGCCACGATAGTTACGGTTCGTGGGGATGCCATGGGGTCTCCAAGGCAAGTCCCAACTAATCCTTCTGCTTTGCGCAGCCGGGGCTGTCAAGGCGCAGGCAGTTAGCACAGGGAGAGCTAGAGGCACGCTGCGGAGGCAGCAGGCAGAGAGAATGACAAAGGGAGAGGAGGGAGCTGGAGAGAAAAATTGAGAGATCGAGATTCAACCACTCTCACTACAACAATCGCTGGGTCCTAATGCCCTACGATTGCACCTCCCTGGCGTAAAGGACCGTGAAGAAGTTCAAAGAAGCCCTTAGCTGAGACGGCAACTTCTAATTCCTAAGTGCAAAGAAGGCAGTTTATGCTTCGAGTTCAGCACCAGGAATGAGGAATTTAGAGAGATGTCCTTTGTGCTATTTTACCAGGTGCACTTTTAATCCCCTCATACCTACCCTTCCGTTATTCACTCCCCATTTCAAACCTCATCATTTCCTTCAATCAAACCATCGGGCTTCGTGAAGTCATTGGTGTCTGAAAGTGCTTACACTCAAGGACGAAACTGCAAGCCCCGCCTGGTGGCTCAAGCCTGGTATCCCAGTATTTTAGTGGCTTGGAGCGGGAGGATGGTGAGTTCTGGACCAACTTGTGCTACATAGGTAGTTCAAGGCCACCCTGAACTCTTACCAAGAGCCCCTCTGAAAAGTCATCCTCTCAAAAACGAAAAGAGAAAAATTGTAAAACCATTAAGTTCTCAGGATTGACAGCAACTGAAGAAGGCATTATCTTCTATTTGCTTAAAAACCATGTTATGGTTAGTATTTAAAAACTTTCCCGTGGGGCTGGAGACCTAGCTCAGTTTGTAGAGTGCATGCTACATGATCCCCCCCATTTTTTTGCATTTTGATCCTATCTCTCAAAGATTTATGTCTCAGTGGGCCCCACTGCCAGGTGCTATCCCACTCACTGCCCCATCCTACCAGAGCATTTCTACCATTTAGGCTTTTGATCACTCCTCTTCCTTCTCCTTACTAGTCATTAGGTTATTGCCTTTACTCTTCAACCTTTGCATCAATGTCGCCTCCTCCATAAAGCCTCTCCTGATATAAGCCCAGCTAGGTAAGACTTTTCTCCTCCTTTGATGTTCTACTACGAAAACCAATGTTAATCGACTGTCTAGTAGGGTCAAGAAACTGCTCTTGTATTAATTCGCTAAACATTTATATGCAGCAACACTGTGAGCTAGGTATGAACTCCCATTTATGGATGGGATTCAAATGACTAGACAGTCATATCTAGAGGCCAGGCTCATTTGGTTTTGTTAAACATATGAAGTCTTTGTTTACTCCAGGAGGGAGTAAAGAGAGCATCAGAGCCTCTGATAAGATTTGTTTCTCAGAGCTGAAGGGATAGCTCAGCGGTTAAGAGCACTGGTTACTCTTCCAGAGGACCTGGGTTTAGTTCCAGCACCCACATGGCAGCTCACAACTGTCTGTAGCTCCAGTTCCAGGGGATCCAACACCCTCACACAGACATATATGCAGGCAAAACATCAATGCATACAAAATGAAAATAAACTGTTAAAAAAAAAAAAGATTTGTTCCTCTGCTGCCCCACACTGAGAATGAATGGGGAGGTGACACTTGAGGATCTGAAAAGTCTTCTAGATTGCACAAGAATGGTCAGTGGTCAGAGGGTGGTGTGTCTCTTTGCTAGGGCAGAGGGTAATAGGGCATGCAGGGTGGTGATCACCGCAGGTCTGATTGGAGCTCACCCCAGAAAGATAAGCCGGACTCCAGTGGCTCTGCTCCAGCAGGGAGGTGAAAATCTTGAATCTTGTTGTTTCCTTTCTGTTGCTATGCTAAACACTGTGATGAAACAACAACTTGGGAGGACAGGGTTTATTTCAGCTTATACTTTATGACCTATCATTGAGGGAAGCCAGGGCAGGAGCTAAGGCAGGGGCCTTGACCCAGGAACTGAAGCAGAGCCCCTGGAGGAATGCTGCTCACTTAGCTGGGTCCCCTGGCTGGCTCAGCAACCTTCTTTATACAACCCAGGGCCACCTGCTCAGGGATGCCATTGCCCACAGTGGCCTGGGTCCTCATCTATCAATTGGCAATCAAGAAAACGCTCCACAGGACATTCTGACTGAGGCAATGCTTTTCCCGAGGTTCCCTCTTCCCAGGTGTGTCAAGTTGACATCCAAGATTAGCCTCCACAAGTCTATACCCTCACTATGACTCAGAGGCCTCTCTCCGTCTTAGTCACCAATTCTTAATACTCCTCCCACCTAGCCAGTCCAAGCTGGGCTGAGTGGCTCCTGTCTCTGACCTCAACACTCACTCAGAAACCTGAGGTAAGAGGATTGCTATGATTTCAAAGTCATCCTAAGCTACAGAGTAAATTTCAGATCTGTCTGGGCTATATTATAAGACTCTGCCTCAAAAATAAACAAACAAAAACTATTTGGAGAAGGAGGAGGAGGAAGAAAGAAAGAAAGAAAGAAAGAAAGAGAGAGAGAGAGAGAGAGAGAGAGAGAGAAAGAAAGAAAGAAAGAAAGAAAGAAAGAAAGAAAGAAAGAAAGAAAGAAAGGGGGAAAAGTAAATACTACAGAATCAGTACAAATTCCCTTCAAGGAGCTTCCTTCCTGCCCACGTTATCCCTTACTCTACTGTGACAGACTATCCGAGGAAAGCAGATTGAGAGTCCATTTTGCTCACAGTTTCAGGGCACAGTCCATCATGGTAGGGAAGATATTGAGCAGGACTACGAAGTAGCCGCTCACATTACATCTAAAGTCAGGAAGCAGAGAGGGATGATGCTCAGTCCGATCGCTCCATTTCCCCCTTTCTGGGCCCCCAGGCACATATTCCAGTTGTGTCGTCTATCCTCAGTTAAACCTTTCTGGGGGCTGGGGAGATTGAGAGCTCAGTGGGTGAAGTGATTGCTATACACATACGAAGGCCTGAGTTCAGTTCCAGGCGCCCAGACAAAAGCCAAGTGTGGCAGCACACACTTATAACCCCATCATGGTGTGAAGAGCACAGGAGGAGGATGGGATAAGGAAAACCTGGATAACTGGAGACAGGTACATCCTGAGGGCTGGCTGGCTGGTTGGCTGTTCGCATAGACAAAACAGTGAGTTCCAGGTTCAATGGAGACCCTATTTCAACATATAAGGTGGAAAAGCAGTTGAGAGAGATATTCTGACATCATCCTCTAGCCTCCATATGTACCTACTCAGGCACATATACAATACACACACACACACACACACACACACACACACACACACACACACACAAACACACACACACTACAGGAAAAAAAGAAACATTGGAAACACCCCTATAGACACACCCAGAGGTGTGTTTCCATGGTGATTCTAAATCCCATCAAGTTTGTAAAGAAGTTTAACTATCGCAACAGGTACCCTGAGTCTGAGCCCTCTCTGAAATAGTATGGACCTTGTGCCCCATCCTGATCTCCGTCATTTATATATAAATATGTCATCACAATCAATTCCATTGAGGAAAATTGGGGCCCCTGCCCTTCATGATGAGCTCTTGGTGACTTCCTTTGGTGACTAAAAAAACAAGGAATATCATCTGAAATAGTTTGAAGGATTCTCTCCATCATAAGCCAGCTCTTATCTTTCTATTACTAGGCCAAAGAAGCAGAGGCCTTCCTTCAGTCCAGCTCCCTTGGATTGGACAGTCATGGCCTGGGAGGCCTCCATCAGCTTTAAATGTGTGATGTGGCAGTGATAAGCATTCTCTACACTCCCACATCTTCCTGAAGCTAACATGGTGCTGTGCTGGGAATGCTGGATACTGCCACAAGCCAACTCCATCACAATACCCTGAGCACCAGAGGTTACTTGAGGGGAGTCAGAACTCCAAGGGCATTGTGTTCTCCAGGCTGTCCACGTGGGACAGGTTCTCACCCTGCCACTGACATTTTGGGGCTGTGCATCCCTTTTATCTTGGCAGTTCTCTGCTCAGAAAAATGAGTAAAGTGCTCATTGTCACCACTGATTTGGAAGGTTGACTATGAAAGGATTTTGAAGACGCCAGTACTCATGTTGAGTTTGGTAGCCAGGCCTGGGTATGTTCCTGCAGATATGGTTCTGGACCACTTAGGACTCCTCCTCAACCTAAATCCTCATCACACGCACAAGGTACCAATATGAGTCCTTTATTTTTTCAAGACAGGATTACTCTGTATAACAGCTCTGGCTGTCCTGCAACTCTCTTTGTAGATCAGGCTGGCCTTAAAATGAAGCCTTTCTTTTTTTTTTTTTGGTTTTTCGAGACAGGGTTTCTCTGTGTAGCTTTGCGCCTTTCCTGGAACTCACTTGGTAGCCCATGCTGGCCTCGAACTCACAGAGATCCGCCTGGCTCTGCCTCCCGAGTGCTGGGATTAAAGGCGTGCGCCACCACCGCCCGGCAAAATGAAGCCTTTCTTGTTCCATCCCCTGAATATATCTGGGAGAGAAGAGTCATGGACTCATCCCCGACTGCTTCAAGCCTTGTTGACTTAGGCATTGTAGGAGTACATGAAAAGTGAGATACAGATCCTGCTAACAATGAGCTTGTTGTTCTATAGCAGACAGTAGAATCTGTTTATTTTCATACACATAATAAGTGACTGGAAGGAGTGCACCAAAGTATGAAATGTTAATCTTTGTAATTTGTTTTTCAAACATCCCACATTGAACATGTCAGTAAAATGAGCAGTCAGGGAAGTCTATGTTTCATAGTTAAGTGACTGATTATATGTAATATATTGTATATAATGGGTTTCCATTTCAAATGACATGATAATGGGAATAATACATACTCATAAAAATGTGTAAAATGCTAAAGGATATAAAAGAAAATAACTCATGAGTCCACTATGAAGACATATTATTAATGTTTATATTGGTTAGTATTTGAGTTGACCTTTTCCTTAATGCCTCTTTATGAAAAAGGCATATGTAAATTATTGCTTTTTCAGAATTTGACTACTTTAGTATGTTTTATACCCAGGTTTTATTATCTTGTTAGCATTTTTTGTCACTATATTCTTGAGTTAAGGCAAAAGTTCTAACATCAGGGAATGTCAATGGATCCAGCCTCTAGCAACTCTCCAGAAAGCCAATCAAAGAACTGAGCAGTAAGTGGCAAAGGTGGGCAAGGAGTTCTA